TCTCCACCGGTGCCGCCACTCCCCGCCAGAGGCCTCGTTTTCCCGGCCTGCCTGGAGGGAAAGAAGTCTTGCCCCGGGGCTTAGAGGAACGACTGGCTACTCCATGTTTTCAGTCATTTGTTTAGGCCTTTATCAAAAACTTATTCTGAACAGACATATACATGCCCATTTTTCTTTCCCAGATTGTTGGACCCAAACCTGAGCTTTTAAAATATTTTTTAATTCTAATCCTTACTTCCACAAAATTCCATGATGGCAGGGATTTATACTTTTCATCTTTGAATAACTTAAACGAATACCTTATACTTACTTAAAGGTAGTCAATTATGCCTATTCAATGGATAGTAGGCACTCAACAATACTCAACATAAACAGGTTACTCTAGCAAATTAAGTTCCATAATCAGAAACTGCATTTATCAGCAATTATGTAATATATATTCACAATGTTGAGACAGAGAAAAATTCGATACTATAGAAACTAATACACAAATAACTGACTGAATTTTCACTATATACTGTGATCTTCTACTACATAGATAAATAATATTCCTTTCAGAAGAATATAAAACATTTTTATGCCTGGTTGACTTGCTTAAAAACCTCATTGTGGAAAATGTTTTTATCACTGAAAAGAAAATCCTATTTTGCAAAATTATATTAAATTGCTCAGATTGATAACAGCTTCAGGAGAGAAAGAGGAGGGTAGAGAGAGAAGGAAAGAAAGAAAACACATCTTTGATACCTCAGTATATTGGGCAGGAGTAACTTAAAAGAAAAATGAGAAACCTTTCATCTTTATTTATGCTTCCCAATGTTAGTGTGGTGCTTCTATGTACTTATATGCAAGTTTTATGTAGCAATTGACAATTTCTTTTTGGATTCCTAAAATAATTCTCCTCCTCCTCCTTCTTCGTTATCTTCTTTTGCAACATGAGAAGTTTACATGAAAACTAACCAATAACTTAGTTGACTTAGAAATACTGTGAAGACAGCAAGAGGGAGGGACACTGCCAGACTCTATAACATTAGAAGTTTACCCCTCGGAGTAGAGTTTGGTTGTCAGGAAACTCTTGGTATTGTACTTAGCTTCTCTGACTGGTAGGTTCAGCTGCAGTGAGTGTTGTGTTGTGCTGAATATTTGTCTGGCATAAGGCTCTGCCTTAGATAAGCCTCTTAACCCAAGCTAGGTTTAAAACAAAACTACTTAAAAACTGATGAGTAACATAAGAAGGAGAAAGGGAGGAAAAGAGAGAAGGGAGGGAGGGAAGGAGGGAGGAAAGAGAAGACAAGAAAGAAAGAAGGAAAGGAAAGCAAGAAGGGAAGAAGTGGGGAAGGAAGGGAGGAAGATAGGCGGGGGAAAAGCCTGTTTAGGACAATGGTAGCTGTTAAAGGCAGATATGAATAAAATTAATTAGACTGGTAATGTACAAAACAAAAAGGGCATCTAAGCAAACATATCAATGTGAATATGAGAGTCTTTATTTTTGCATTTCTTAATTTGCAAATTCTAGAGAAGACATTAGAAGTTTGAAGTTGGGGGCTTTAACATCTACTTAGAAATCACAATAAACAATTCTCAGTCTAATGTCATGTTTTAATTGCAAAACCTTGGTCCAAGAAAGGTTATAATATATGTATGTCATTATTGATACACATTCAACCAGAACACTTGTTTTCCCTTTTCCAGATACCTTTTCATTATTTCCTAATCCTAAAAACTTTGACTGGATTTGTCTAGCTGCTAGCAAAATTCAGGAGCAAAAACCTTGATTTAAGTATATATAAAGTGACTAATTTAAGTATATAAACTTTAAGAAATAAAGGATTTTTTCATATTATCAATAACATTCACACATCTGTATTACATAATTAAAACAATATAATAAAAATCCTAATTAGAATCACATGTTATAATCCTTTTGTATTTTTTGATTTCTGTGTTTAGATCGGTTACATCAACATCAGGTGAATTAAACCTTTTATTTATCATTCATAAAGTAGTTTGCAAACTTTTTTTTACACACAGAGAGTAAAAACTACAAGAGAAACAGGAAGTAGCCCTTCACAACTTTGTTCATCCAAACTTGATGTTAAAAGTACCAGTTTATAAACACTAGAAGGCAGAGCTGGAGAGTGAGGGAATTAGAGGTTAATAAAAGGGTACAAACTTTCAGCTATTAGATGAATAAGGTCTGAAAATTTAATGTGTAACATGGTGACTATAGTTTATAAGACTGTACTGAATAACTGAAATTTGTTAATAGAGTAGAACTTAATGGAATTTCCCTGGAGGTCCAGTGGTTGGGACGCCAAGCTTCCACTGGTGCCGGGGCATGGGTTCAAAACATGATTCAGGGAACTGGGGTCCTGCATGCCACTTGGCGTGGCCAAAAGAAAAGAGAGATAGTAGAACTTAAATATTTTCCTCAAAAAATATATAAGTAAATGCATAGGTGATGGACATATTAATTGACTGGAGGAATCCCCTCACAATGTAAGCCTGTATCAAATCATCATGATGTGCATTTTAAATATCTAACAATTTTATTTGTCATTTATATCTCAACAGAGCTAAAAAAACAAAAACAAAAAACACTAGACAGGAAGCCTCACCTATTGTATTATCGATGGTTTTCATGTTCATTTAAAAAATTCCAGGTAGTTATTTAATTTATGTAGGGCTGCCCATGTTTGACTTCTAGAGATGAACTCTGAAAGACCACTGATACATAGATAGATAGATACACACAAAAGAAAATAATAATTAGTAAAATTCATTTCTAAATGAAAAAAATGTTTCTAAGTTGTGTCATAACTTTTTTGTGAAATATAAAAACTTTGCTCCTTAATACAAAATCTTGGTTTTCAGGGATATAGAACATAAAAACAATTAAAAAGGCTATTGCTCTAGGTTAATCACTTGAAGCAGAAGCTATAAAATCTGAGTTGGTATCCAAGCTGTTCCATTTATCAGCTGGATCACAGTATGCCAATGACTCAGTTGCCTCTTGGTAAAATGAGATTAATGATATTATTTCATGACATTATTCTAAGGATCAAACAAAATTATGAATTGAGAAGTGCTTTGTAAGTTACAGGGCATTATAACAAATTTAAGATGTTTTTAATAATTTTATCTAGTTGAGAAATTATGATTTATGCAATATATCTTTCCTAACAGTGAGTTTGATATCTAGGCATGGGTACCACTTGGAAATCATACATTTACCAATAGGAAGTAGAGTATCTTTCTGATCACCTCTCAGACAGATTAACAAACTGTAAGAAAAGGATCCACAGTTAGAGCCATGCTGTATTAGGTGGACAGTGTAATCACTAGGACAGCTCTTAATACAAAGAAAGTGGAAACATGAGTCTGAAGAGGGGAACTATCAAAGGTACTCTTTATCAAGAGTGAAACTTTGAAATCCATCTATTTAAGATTAATCACTATTCTTTTAGTTAAGCTGTTGTCATCTCTAACTTTCCCTAAGTAGAAAATAATCTACACTTCCAACTAAGTTATTCATGGTCCAATTTGTTCTCAGAATACTATAATAGGCTTTGTGAAGATAAGTTTTATAATAGGGATTTAACATAGTGAGAAGCCAAGTCACAGAGGCCTTCAAACACAAAGAGTATATATGTGTATAAACTGCTGTCTCCTCCCCCTGTTCCACTCTTCCTGAGTTATTCTCCGGAAAGGACATTCACCCCTACTTAAAATCTAATTTTTACAAAGGATTCAAATGAAATGGCATCTCAGTTTAGCTACCATAGAGTTGCTCTGGAGCCATTTCAACGTCACTGGAAAATGGGGGAAACTTTGAGCAAAGAACCACTGGCAGAAGGAATGTTCGTAGGATAAAATCTTCTCTCTTGGCAGTTTTGTCTTACTTGATGACCACATAAACATATTGAGTTCACAGGCTAGAACTCTCAAAGAGTAGTCCACTTTCTTGGAGAAAATAAAATTTTCAGGATAGCATCTGGGAGAAAAAAAAAAATGAAGAAGGAGAAGAAAAAGAAGGAAAAAGAATCACTGATGATTTACACATGTTATATTTATTTCCCAAGCTTCTAATATCTTAAACTATTGAAAATACATAAAATTAATTCTATACTATAGAATTAATAATGTGTACACTATACATTTATAACTTTGTTCTTTTCTCCTCTAAAGATCTAACTTTCCCTATTTATAATTTTCACCTCATTTGTATCCAAATGAGTGTATCAGCTAGTTGTTTTACAAAGTACCAAGGCACTTGAAGTGAAATACAAGTTTATCTTCTTTCAGATGGTGGTTGTTTCTTTTTGGGGCTCCGTATTTTCACATTTTAAACATTTTAAGACACAAGCACATGAAATGTAATATTTAAAATACTTGAGAAAATAAGATAAAATACCTGAAACTCTTTATCTATTTATGTATTTTAATAACTAGCTTTTCTTTTCCCTAGTTTTGCATTCCTGCTGTACTTATTTTGTTGTAAGTAAGGCTATCTTATTTGCATATTTGTAACAAAGTATATAAAAGGATGAAGATGTGTGGTTCATTATTTATATTCAAAACTTTTTTGATTAAAAAATCTTAAAAATCAGGTAAGAATTACACAACCAATAAACATTTTAAACTTTTTTAAGCTAAGAAAAAATTGTAATTGTTTTTTAATGTACTTTTAATGATTTCTAGCTCTCACACCTCCTTACTTGCTTTCCAAACTGTTTATACTGTCCCAATAACACTCAGTGGAAAGCTGTCATTCCTGGCTAAATCCTTACTTAGGGTGGATGCTATGCCTCCGTGAGACAGGGTCAGGGGGTCAAAATCGATTTTGGAGGCCACCTGGAGAGTCCAGGCCATGAACTGACTCAAAAAATTTATATCAGAGCCGGAATAGTCCACCTCCCAGGGTCAGATCTGGCCTGACACTCCAACCGCAGGCTGGGGCATGCTAGACCGAGCTCAGAGAGAGGCTAGAGTTGTTGACCCTGCTAGCTGACCTCTTCAAACTTCAGGAGAATTTTTTTGGCAGTTACCACGGTGACTGGGTACTCTAAAAGCTTATCCTTCTTACTGAAAGAAGGAAAAAAAAAATTAGGAAAAAAATATGTTAAAACCTACCTTGCAGAGATGCCTATCACAAGTTTTTTTTTTTTTTTAAAGGGAAAAAACTGAAGGAGTTCTAAATTGTCTATGACTTTAATTTCCACTGTTGTCCTAAAGAAATTGGAACTTGTAAGGTCTTTCAAAACCAAATTTCACATTTGTAACAGAAACTGCTTTTTTTTTAATAAACCAATAACTGAAAACAATTTGAATAATGTATTAAAATACTTTTTAAACAACATAATTTACTTGGAAATTCTATTATCTCTCTGCTCTTCTTTGAGACTAATCAGCTTTTAAATAAGATCCACCATAAATGCTAATTTAGTCAGGGGTGGGGTGGGGCGGGGAACACTGTAACTAAATATTCATTTTTGTGTCAAAAACACACTCAATTTTTTTTTCCTGAGAGAAAAATGTCCATTTTTGCTTTACTTGAAATAGTAAAATTAAGAGAAAAGCAAGTGACGATTATTATATATTTTAAAAAAATTTTTACCTAGTGACTTAATAAAATAATGTTTACATTAAAAACAATGTCATGAAAATACTCTAATATAACACAAGAACACTAGCAGGAAAAATTCAAGGTGTACTTTCTTTTAGATAAATTCAAAGCTAAAAAAAAACTAAGCTATAGAATATTCTTCTATGTTAATACCAAATGCTATCTTGTCCTAAATTTCTACAGTGATAGAAAGACTTATAAATTAAAATTTAATTCCTATTGGGTAAACCTACACACATTATAAAACTCTGCTAGTTGATTTTTGGTGACAGATTATAATAAAAAATACTTTTAAATGGCTCCCATATACATCTTGAAATTAGATGAGAATCATAATACTTTAGAAGTATATTATTTAATTATAATAATACTTGCTTTTAAAAAACACCTGTGTACTATATAAGGACTTTTTGTAAAGTGAAATCATTGACTCTTAGTGTTGCTACTGTTCTGGCCCTCCTTTAATTTTCTCATCTGCCTCTTACACGGCCCAGGTCCTGGAAGTCTTGAAAGATTTTTCTCCAGCATATGTGTGTGTGTGTGTGTGAACATAAGCACACACAAATGATTAAGCATTGGTGAGGGGAGGGTGGTTTTGCATTTTAAAAAGCATTGGCTATGTAACAAAACAATGTCTTTGGTCTCAATATCATTTCTCATCTTGACTGTAAGCCAAGAAAGAAAAAAAAATGATGAATTACAGAAATGTAGTAACTGACATTCCAAAAATGAATACTGAAATTTCAGAGGAATGCTTTAACCTAATCTTGAATGTTCATTTTGCTGTGACCTATTTTCACTGCTTTGTAATCACCGCTAAATTCCTAGAACAGAATTGGACATAAAACCAAGTATCTGTTAATTAATCTCAATTAAAAACAAAAAAACAAATATAATTCAGAATATAATTTCCTTTGGGTTCAAAACATCCAGTGAAAGGAAAGACTGGAGATATATTTTGAGAAGATTTTGCCATGTGATCCAATTGCACTTTGTTAAAACACAGGTCTTTCAATTAGATAGTGTGGTTCTTGCCATTGCAAAGTGGGCAATGAGGTTGGTGAGTCACTACAACTGTGGTGCCAGCTCATTCTCTATGATGAACTCAGACTGTCCTTCCCAGCCGGGAACTCTTGGCAAGCTTCGTTAAAGACCCGGAGGCTGGCAAAGCATGAAGAACTATCAAACAGGAAATGAGGTCCTCCTCAGGTTTTGAAAAGAGATGATAGAAGTCTTAAAGTGAGGCAGGCCAGACCAGAATCTCCTAAACCACAAGCCTTATCTTGAGTGAAACATTATTTCTAAGCTGGATCTGAAAAGGAAAAGAAGTTAAAGTATGAGACAATGGTTCATTTGTACGTAAGAAAACAGTGCCAAGTCTATTAGTTTGGTTTCCTCAAGTCAAAGTTAGGATCTCTCCCAGGAAAAAAACAAAAATCACCTATCAGTTTTCTGCATAAATTTCTACTAAAAGGACAATGAAATAAATAGATATTTAGAAGATCCATAGACCTGGGTCTTCTCTTTTGTTGAAAATTCATCAGTTGGTTATAGAACTATAGAATTCAGGGACTGGGAGGGATTTAAGAGATCATCTGGTCCTATCTCTTTACTTAGATCCTGCTCAGCACTTCTAGCTTAGTGGATTCTCCACTATAATGTGTGGTCGCTTCACTGGGTAGAAAGGATGTTAAAACCCCATACCAGTAGACCTATTCAGAGCCTTAGTGACAGAGTTACTCTGGAACAGTGGTATAAAATGATTGTAAAACTCATTCAAGTTACACTTCCAGGAAACAACTTTAGGTACAAGATAAGCAAAAATTACACAAAATCAGGTAGGAAACAACACAACAATGTGTGCTGTAGGAAGCTTCAAAATTTTCAGGAACTTTGGTAACAGGGTAGGCTGTTAATATTATTTCTTCAGCTAATTGTTTTTATTGATTTGTTATGGCTAACAGGCACTGATTGATTTTCTTTTAATCAGTATGGAGTCTTCACTCTGCCAGGTTTATAATTAAATACTGAGAAGAAGGGCTCTAGGTAGGTGTTAGTCTAAACTTCCAGTGGTATGAAGGTCTGTCCAAATAACCATGAGCTATGGAAGATTGATGGCTGCCAGTCCAGAAAGGGCTTAATGTGGTTTTTCTTTAATATTTCTCTAATTAGCTTTAGTTTTAACTTGTTTCTATTAGGATCCTTGGATCTTAAAAATGAAGTAAAAAGAAGCCCCTAGAAAAATATGGAATTCATTGCTCGTACCCCAAACTGCCATTTGTCAACTGCATTCAACTATAACATTTATTCTCTATATCACGTATTTTCAGTGCAATCATCAAAGTTCCCTTCTAACTTGTCATGGTGTTTGGGAGAAGATCATGATTGAATCCTGAGAGTCTGGTTCAGGGCTCCAGAGGCGAAAAAAAGAGTAAAGGATAAGAATTTAAGGGGAGGAGGAAAAGTACTAGGTATGCTGAGATATTTTAATATGGAAAGAGGCTGGTGTTTAGGAAGACAGTTATGTGTGATTAAGAGGTGAAGGCAGCAAGAGTCAGGTAGTCCATTAACTGCCATCTAGAATTTCAAAGAAATGCTATATCTTTTCCATAGATTCTAATGGGTGTTAGTTAAGGGAGGCATTTTGGGTACTAATTACTTGTTAAAGTTTTGGAGGTGGGTGGTGGTTGGGGGATGGGAATGAAAAACAACTCTGAGGTTGAGGGTCAGAAGAATGTTTGCTTGGCTACTCAAGGCTCCTGATGAAGTTCAGCTACCTATCCTGCAGTTTTGTGTGTGAGTCTATCTATCGTTCTGTTTCTCAAAAACACTTCAGTCGTCTCCCCTTTTCCCAGAAGCAGACTTCACTCAAAGGAGAAAGAGCTGTTAAGGGAAATTCCTTTGCAGACAGAAACTTTCCTATATACCAACATTTTTTCTTTTTGGAATCAAGGATGAGAGGCCAGCCAAGAAAGTCAGTGGGGAATTGTGAAATTAAAGAGTGAGAACTTCCCACCTGGTTCTGAGCTCTAGCCCCAGGATCAGCCAGGCTGTGCTCCAGGAACAATGTGGATGATGCAAGAGCTGATTGCCTTCCCCAGCTTCTTGACCTGTCTTGAAACTTTGCCAGGGTTGTTCCTTCAGTCCAGGTGGGCACAGCACTCCTGTCTAAAACACCATGGAAAGGATATAGCACTTCTTTGAAATTCTAGATGGCATTTAAGGACTACATGATTCATTGCCTTTACCTTTTAATCACACATAACTGTCTTCTCAAACACCAGCCTCCTTTCCTATAACAATCCACTGCACTGCTCCTGGAAGGGCACAGTCTAGGGCAGGGGTCCCCAACCTCTGAGATCTAATTAAATGCCTGATGATTTGAGGTGGAGCTGACATAATAATAATAGAAATAACGTGCACAATAAATGGGTTTGAATCATCCTGAAACATCCCCACCCCCACCAACCCAACCGACCCGGTCCATGGAAAAATTGTCTTTCACAGAACCCGGTCCCTGGTGCCAAAAAGGTTGGGGAGTGCTAGCTAAGGCAACTTGGCCAGTGCCTTCCTTCTGCTGAGGCAGGACCACACAAAAAGGGGCTCACTCTTTTGGCATCCTTCAAAGGCTCCTTAGGAAATTGTTGAAGACAGAAATTTTGAAATTGAGTTGTAATGACTGAGAAAAGAGGGGTGAGGCACAGGCAGCTGCTCCCAAGCAGCTGCCCCGGCTGCTCCAGCCTCGAGAAAGGCCAGCCTCTTGGGCACCACACCCACTAGTCCCAGAAGGAGGCAAGAAGAGGGGCACGAATTGAAGTGGGCAAGTTTAGAGAGAGGACCCTGGCCCTGAGTGTTGGAGTGACATCCACAGCCACAAACGCCAAGGAAAAGGTGAGCGAATAAACAGCTATCACTCAGTCCCAGGTTGCTGAAATGACTTGTGGGCCCAAGAAAACACATTGTGTGTGTGTGTCTCTGTGTGTGTGTGTGTGTGTGTGTGAGAGAGAGAGAGAGAGAGAGAGAGAGAGAGAGGGAGAGAGGTGAGGCTTTTTTGTGAGGGACCTGGGGAAAAGGGGAGAGCTCTGTAGGAGGACGAACCAGTTTTCTCTACTGGATCCCCATGACTTGTATGCTGGAGTGACTGTGGTCGGATTAACGCTCCTTTTCCTTCTGCCTTCCCGGGCCACGTCGAAATGAGAAGCAGTGCACACGACAATACCCTCCCACCACCAGCTTCCTCATCCCCAAACTCAAATGCCTGCGAGTGAAACGTCACCAAAAGTTATTGCCAGCGACAAATTGGGGCTGACAAATTGTCGATAATCGCGCCTTCGACGTGCAAAATGACTTGCAGGCAATAAAAAAGCAGACGCACCAAGAGGTGGGCAGGGGGCGGGCGGGTCGCAGCCGGGTCCGCGGTTCCCAGGTGGCGCCCCGCCCCAGCCCGGCTCCACCCCAG